AAAGGACAGGCGACAGAGCCTCAGGGACAGGCAACAGAGCCTCAGAATTAGTTACACACAGAGAGGGTGATTCTGTCGACAGAAGATATTCCCTCCATGATATTTCCTAGAGTTTGTTATCAGTTAGTTATTCTGCCAATCAGAGGATATTCCCTCTATGATTACACCTGTAGGCCAGATATATAAGGCCCTACTCTTTTAAAGAAGGAATGAATGAATATCCCCTGTTTTTATCTTTCACAGCATCCCTCTTTTCCTACCTTCCCTTCTCTTCTTCCTCCCCATTTTCTGTTTGAGGAGGTTAAGCCACCCTCGAAGGGGCTTCCGAGGTGAGCGGTATCTCACCAAGATGGATACTAAGAAACCTCGTAACTCAAGTTTCATTTAGTTCACTTGACAAAGGTGTTCTTGAGACTAAAACTTAGGGTCATTGGAGCAGGTCCTACAAGAATGTTTACAATAGAAGAGGAGTTTATGTCAGGAACTCAAAGGGCTGGCTCAACCCATGAACCTTGAGAAAATAGTTAGAGATGTTTAGGTGGGTAAAAGCCTTGGGATGTTCTTTTGGAGTGGAGAGGATTTTCCCAGAAAAGCATTTAAAAAGTTTGAGAGGAGTAGAAAGGAAAAACGAATGAAGAAAAATGTAACAGGGAAAGAAGGAGAAATTGGGAGTGAAGATGATGATGGATAGGAATTGTTTGAGGGGGAGGATTAAGAGCAGTTGAAGTATTTGGTCCTTCGGTTCAGTGGAGCTTGAGGTTTGTGTTTATTTTGTGGTGGGGTTTTTGGGGTGGTATTTTGGTTGCAAGTAGACCTGTTCACAAGCCAGGCTTCAGGCTTGAGTTTACATAGCATTAGCTCAAGCTTGGGGCCTGGCCCATTAGAATTTTGACAAAAGCCAAGCCCAAGCCCGGCCCATGAACAGGTCTAGTTGCAAGAGGAGTCTAGTTTATGTCTTTGGTCAGTGTATGTATTTGTATCCTGTTGTTTTTTGGTTTAGGTGTAGATGTGTAGTCCTTCCTCTTTTGGGTGATTTCTTATCACCTTTCTTATGTATTCTTCTTTCTTTTTACTGAATCTTTTTTTGTTACCTTTCAAAATAAAAGATCAATAGAACTTTTGTTAGTTGGTCATTGACTTTGAAGGATTTTACAAGACTAAACCACAACTATTTCACAAGAAACTTTGGAGAGTGGTTTTTCTATTCTTCTTTTGATGCATAGATTATAATTGTTTACATGGATAATTAAGGGATTTTATTTGTCTTAGTAACCATGTATAGCTACATTCAGCTAGGGTCTTCCCCTAGTTGAAATATTGACTCATCAAAAAAAAAAAAAAAAAGGAAAAAGAAACACTGCAATTCAAAATATCTATTTCTAGCAAGATATACTTACTTGCAGCTCCTCAGAGCACTTGGTTTTTGGAGGAGGTGGAAGAAACTTGTCCAATGGATCATCATCTTCCTGTATTTCTACAGAAACCATAACAACATCCTCGACCCCTGTAGCTTCGGTTTCCATTCTAATAGAATTCATCATGGCACTATTATTTAGCTGTAAAAGCTCTGGCTGTTCTGACATTTGAGGAGGAGTTGGTTGAGTGCCTGGTGTTAAAATTTGAACTGTTCCTGGAGGCGATTTTTCTTGGAATTCACCTGGAAATGCAAATAAATTCAAAAATGAAGGAAAATAGGTTAAAAGTCCAATAGATCAGGAAAAAAAACAAGGTTGCAACTTGAGTTGGGAATTTGTTAAATTTTCAATGGGCTCGAACCCTAAGCCAAGCCTGATGTAGCTGAAATTCTTCATATCAGGCAACCCGACATGCACCCCTATTAAAAAATTGCATTTGCATCCAAAAGCACCTTCTAGAAATCCAATATCACTACTATGTCTTTGAATGATGCTATTATTCCAAACATGATAAAACAAGTATCCTTTCATGATTCATTAATGAAGGTTGAAAGTATTGAAGATATGGAGATAACAGTTTTGAAACTTAAACCATTATTTACCAGAAACTACTATAACATTTGGCACTTTTCCAATTCTTCCGCAAAGAGAATATACTCTATCATATACATAATTGCATATGAAGAAGAAAAACTATACAAATGGAGAACACGTAATTATTGAAACCAATTTGCCATAAAACGCATGTTCACGTGTCCAAATATAACTATACCATTTGCAGTTTGAAGTTCTGCAGTTAACGTGACACGACCAGAACTTACTATTTCTCCTTCCTGCAACCAGACAACCGAAGTCGGAAATACAGTGAGAAACTATCAATTAATAAATTCTGAATTAAGAAAATTAACTTTGAGCAAGTCCTGAGTTAGGAAAGTTGTCGTTCTAAAAGATATATTGACATAGAAAAGCACAGAAAAAAAAAGGCAGGAAGTACCTCAGCTTCGGGAGACATTGCTGTTTCATCGTGAGCATAATCGACGATGGCTAGAGTCCCTTTTCTTGTCCTCTGACCTTCCAAATGAGGGGAAGGCTGTAAAGGCGGCAATTGATTCAATGGTGAGGGTGGAAGTGATGTTTGGGGTTGCTGCGGCGTCAAAGGTGCAACCCTATCGCTTTTCGGGGTGAAATCGTCATTGGGGAGGGGAGGAGTGGCTGAAGTTTGAGGAGAAGAAACAGAAGCGACCATGTCCTCTCTGGTCTCCTCGTCTTCCTCGGCGTCTTCATCCAGATCCTCCATGTCTTCGTCTTCGTCGTTGTACATCGACAACAGGGCAATACCTTCGGATGCTTTCTTCTTCGACGCCATGGAAACTAGGGTTTTGTTCTTCGAGTCTTTAATTAAAAATCAAAGCTTTTGAGTCTTGACGATTTTGTTGCTGTTCTTGCCGCTACTACCAGCTTTCTGCTGCCTGGCTTCTATGCCGAGACCGAGACAATTTGAAGGTGGAGTCGTCAGGACTCAGGAGTGCTCTAATTTTGAACAGGAAGAGAAGAAAATGAGGGACGATCAATCAAACCTGGGCCAGAGCTTACACAGTTATAGCTTAGGTTTGCACTGAGCTGATCCAGAGCCCATTCCAAGCCCAACCCAAACCGAAAAAATAGGGTTGGTTGGGTAAGGCTATAAAGTAGGCCGGGCCAGTCACAGACTGGTCACTGTAGCAATCTGCCCATGCATGCCAGGCCTTGCCTGTATCCAGAGTCGTGCCAGGTTTGAGTTTTGTGGTCCGTTTGTCGGCACGGTATGGCACGAAGCTGGCACATGACAGGTCGTGCCAACCTGCCCGAATATTATAGCCAAGGGTCTCGGCTTATTTCACTTTTTTTTGAGCCTAGAGATGTAAATCAGGTCATGTTGGATTGGCATGACACAGCTCGCACAAAGAGTGGGCTGAGTCAGGTCATACTTCCCTCCCTTAAGATAAGTTGGGGGGTTGGTCGAGCCTAGATCTGGGCTGAACTAGGCTATATTTTTTTTTTTTTTTTGCATTCTAATTTTTTTTTTCTAAGTAAAATGAAAATACTTAAAAAAATTTGGATAAATTACAAAGACTCTCCCTGTACTATGGGGTCTGTGACAAAGACCCCCTGTACTTTGTTTTGCGAGACAAAGACCCCCTTGTACTATAACTGTGAGACAAAAACCCCCTTCCGTTAATCTTCCTGTAATCCCATACAATTGAGAGAAAAACACTGTTTATCTTCCCTAACCTCATGACACACGAACAGCGGTGACCGTAATCCCTTCTACCTTAGATTCCTTCACATTTTTCTCTCTCCCCCATCTATCTTCTTCCCCTTTCCCTTTCTTATTATTCCCGCTTTCCTTCTATCTGTTTCCTTTTCTTCTTCCCGCTTTCCCGTGCTTTACTTAATTGGGTTTTTAATAGAGTGGTTATAGGATCCTGGGTGGGCGTGAATGGCCTTTGGCTTATGTGGGCTGTGGTCTCTCTCCTTGGAAAGCAGTCCAGAGGCCTATATATACCACTGACTGACTTGAACGTGAGCAACTGAGCATCAGAGCATACCCATTTCATTTACGGCTCTTTGAACTGTGTAGTGAGTGTTTTGAGCTTCTTGGGAGCACCAATGGCGGTTTTGGTGATGGTTTTTGGGGTGGTTTTGGGACTCTGTATCTGCACTACCCTGTTGAGATGGAATGAGGTGAGATACAGGAAGAAGGGGCTGCCTCCGGGGACAATGGGGTGGCCTGTGGTTGGAGAGACTACAGAGTTTTTGAAGCAAGGACCAAGCTTCATGAGAAACCAGAGAGCAAGGTCTGTTTTCCCTGGTTTTTATTATGGCTGGTGTTTCTTCTTTTCTTCTTTTCTCGGTTCTAATTACCCATTTTAATGCATTTATGAAATATTGACTCATTCACGACCATGTCTTTCCCGCTCTTTTTTGTTGTTTCTCCTTATCTGGCTTGTTTTTGATGGTTAAGATCACCGGTTTTTCCCTGTTTGAGGGATGGTTTCTTCTTTTTCTCTTTTCTGGCTATATTGGTTCAGACGCATTGGTGCTTACCATTACAAAAACGTATATCCTGTTTAATCTATTTTTTAGCTCTCATTCCAAGTTAGTTTACATGCAAAAAGGGAACCTCCTTTTTACTGATATAAGTTGGTCTTCTGGCTTTCTAGTCTAGCAAACCTCCCACGAATAGAATACCGTTAATGAGAAATACCTCTTGGTTCTTCCAAGAAAGTGGTTTATTTCTTGATTAAAAAAAAATGGCTACGAAGATTTTAAGCATGAAAAAGCTTTTATGTCTTGGGTTTTCTTTCTATGTAACAGTTTTAATCTTGCTGATTTAGATTTGAATTACCATTCGGAGTCACTTATCATTCTTACAGCTTCCCTCTGTAATTCCACATTTTTCATTAATATGTAAAAGTTTTCCTTTCCCTTGTCCACAAAACAGGTATGGAAGCTTATTCAACTCACACATATTGGACTGCCCTACGATTGTTTCCATGGATCCAGAGCTCAACAGGTATATACTGTTGAACGAAGGAAAAGGTCTTATTCCCAGTTACCCCCAGTCCATGTTGGATATTCTGGGGAAATGCAACATTGCTGCTGTTCATGGTCCACTACACAAGTCTATGAGAGGAGCCCTGGTTAGCCTCATAAGCCCTGTCATGATCAGAGAGCAGCTTCTTCCAAAGATTGATAAGTTTATGAGATCCCACCTCAGTAACTGGGATGGAAAAACTATCGATATCCAAGAGAAAACGAAAGAGGTTAGTTGAATCTTCAAAACCCAAAACAACTCTGACCCAGAAACGAACCACATTATCAACTAACCGTAGCTAAATTTCTTTGTTGTTTCTGATATAAATTTACTTTTTAAGCTTTTAATATAAATTTGTTAGCTTTTAATATAAATTTACTTTTTAAGCTTCGCAGAATCAATAGATCATTCACCGAGTCATCGGGTAGAATAAAAACTTGCATATTTCCAAGAAAAATAGAAAGAACAACAAAAAAGAGGAAAATCCCATTAGTTGATCATTTCCAGTTTTAATTTACAGTATTCTGTTCTCCTGTGCAGATGGCTCTGTTGTCATCACTCAATCAGATTGCTGGCACCGAATCCAGTTTGATAGCTGAAGCCTTCAAGCCAGAGTTCTATAAACTGGTTCTAGGGACCCTTTCACTGCCAATCAATCTACCAGGGACAAATTACAGATGTAGATTCCAGGTATGTTATTGAAAACATGATTCTTGATTTTGTTTTTGTTTCGGTGAACATTTTCACTTACTGTAGTTCCACAGGCACGGAAGAATATCATTAGCATCTTGAAAACAATCATAGAGAGAAGACGAGCCTCTTCATCTATCCACCATGACATGCTTGGTGGCCTATTGAGAGGAGAAGACTCAAGATACAAACTCAATGATGAAGAGATTATTGACCAGCTAATTACAATCCTGTATTCGGGTTACAGATAGAACAGAGGAAAGCGGGAAGAAGAAAGGGGAAGGGGAAGAAGAGAGGTCGAGAGAGCGAGAGAGAGAGAGAGAGGAATGTGAAGGAATTTGAGGTAGAAGGGATTACCGTTGTTGGTATTCGTCTATCGTGAGGTTGGGGAAGATGAACAGTGCTTTTTTCTCAATTGTTCAAATAGTTATTACAAGGGTGGCATGGGAATTAAAAAATATTATAATGGCCTTTTCAGACAAAAGGCTAACGGAAGGTCTTTGTCTCACGGTCATAGTACAGGGGTGGTCTTTGTCACAAAACAAAGTACAGGGGGTCTTTGTCACAGACCCCAGAGCACAAGGGGGTCTTTGTAATTTACCCTAAAAATTTTAACAAAGAAATGAAAAAAAAATCTTAAAAAAATACAAAATGGACAACAAATTGGAAAAAAATAGGACTTTTATTTTATTTAAATTTGAAAATTGAACAATACAATGGTCAAAAATACTTAACAAAATTGAATAAAATATAAAAAATATAATACAATTATAAATTGAAAATAAAAATTACACTGTTGAAAAAATAACAAATAATTTAAATAAAATCAAATAATATCATTTTTCTTCAAGTTTCACCTCTATCTCCATCTTGATTTTTGGTCATGCTTTCATCAGGTGTAGTATCATGCACTCCTTTGTCTTGTAATCTATCCTTAGCATCCAAGCAATCTTTTGAAGTAGATGCACATCTCTAGATTTTCATCATTCATGCAACTTCTTCTATCATCTAGCACCCTAGTACCTGCACTAAACAAAACTCCGATGGAACTGCATTATAAAAATTAGTAAGAATTTGTTTGTAGGGAATACGACTTTCTACCATAAAATAGGATTCCATCAAACAACTAACAAAAAATGTTTGTACTTGAAACCATAATTATGACATAAATATTTAAATTCTTGTTTTTTTTCTCAAGAACTTTTAATATATATAATACAATTTCTAATTTTAGAAACATGATGAGAAATAATAGTTAAAGCATTTGAATACATAAATTTAAGATATAACATACACATCTAATATGAAAAAATTTCCATTTAAACATGATTTTAATTAAGATTTTAAAATATTTTATTACTGAATTATTATTGCTAGCATTATCAAAATTAATAGAAAAAAAAGTTTATTGTCAATTCCATATGCATGTAAAGTATTTAAAATACTTGCAGCAATAGCTAGCCAATATGTGAACATTCAAGCCTAGTAAAACTTAAAATTCCTTTTTGTAAAACCCAGTTTTCATCAATAAAATGACTAATAACACAAATATAACTTATATTAAATTTATAGGTCCAAATATCAAAAGTAATTGCAACTCTATAATTAAGATCTGATAAAATAGAAATTAAATATTCTTTATATGAATAAAAAATGTCCAAAGAATATGCTCTAATAGTATTTCTAAAACTACAATAGTTAAAACTACTCCTACATTTTTAGCAAATGGGCCTTTTTCCCTTCCCCTCAACCTCCTCTATTTTAAATAATTTCCAAACTAGGCTAGTCAATTTAGCTCCCTTCTTTTTCTTTCCCCCAGCAGTAGTATTAGGGGTGGGAACTCTAGCAATGTTAATAGCATTTATATCAATGCTAACACTATCATGTTGCGATTGAACATCGTCGACATTGAACATGCTTGGGAATTGGTTTCGGGAGGAGTTGTCCTTTTTTTAATTCTAAAAAATAAAAAATTAATTTAATTGCACTCACCCAAATTGTTGGTTTAGAATCTCAACTTGATTTCAATAGTCGAAGCCTCCAAGCCTCCTAAATTGCTAACTTGAGATACTTGAGCAAGCCTTCTTCTTGTTGAAACTTGAAAAAAGTAGAGACTTGAGAATTGGAGAGTAGAGAGAGAAAGTATCGAGAGTATAAGAGTGTATGAAAACCTAAGAGAGTATGAGAAGAGAATTGTTGAATTGGTATGATGAGAATGGTGGAGGATAGAGCTATTTATAGTAATTAAAAATAATTCAATTACCCAAAATACCCTAAAAACTAACCATTTTCTAATTGTTGGGAGGGGTATTTTGATTATTGTAAAGTCACTTATCACTTTACCCAAAATGCTGCCAAACTAGATGTTATATAGTTGTTGGGGGCATTTTTGTCATTTTCTTCCCCAAAGCCAAAATACATAAATACTACCCATATGGCTATTTATAGTTATTAGGGGTATTTTTGTAAAAAAACCTAAAAAGCTATAACTAATCGTTCGAGGAATACATAAATACTTCCATATAGTTTATAGCTTGGGGGTATTTTTTTTAAAAAAAAAAAAAAAAAC